GGGGGGGAGGGGCGGGAAAATTGACAAAAAATATTTTGCTGTCGGCGATAGCAGGAGTAAATAAAAAAGTTGACTAAAAACCGAACTGCTTTTTTCAAAAATATATCTATAAAGCTAAGTATGAAAGTTGAGAGAAATACTTCAGAGAAAATATAATGTGATATTTTAACGTAAAGGATTCTGGGATCAATCGGAAAAGGAAACTTTTGTTTTGTTGTAGTTTGTATGGCCAAAACAAGCAACCAAAAAGGACCTACAAGGCCACAAAACGTCTACAACACAAAAATTGTACGAAATATCAAACTATTAATTGATGAAGAAATAAGATTACAACTCACTCAGGTATTGTATCTTTTACCTTTTTAACTGTTAAGCTGCTTGCAGAATGTCTTCGAGCCCAGACACAGTTCATAATTTTTCCATGCGAATCAATAACATTTGACGTTTTCTTCTGATTTTTTAACTAGTACTCTTGTTTTCTTTCATATTCATATCAAATTATAAAATAAACTTACATTCCGTAGTTGTCTTGATTCTTTACGGATGTACTGACGTTAAAATCTCAGTAAATACTGTTTTTTCGGTTCTGAATAAACACCACCGCTACGATGTCATATTTTTAGACTTTCAAAACTGAAAAAACGGGACAAAAACAATAAACGAACTCAAATTTAATGGTAGGATACAGAGAGTTAATAAAATCAGTAATACCATACTTACCATGATGACCTCGGGTTCTTTTGTTCTCGCCGGGTGGTTTAATCACGATATTCCCGGCTTAGCGGGGAGATATCTAATTCTCCCGGCAAAGCCGGACAGATTTCTAATTTCTCCCTGATTAAAAGTCATGAGCCAAAATTCAAAGACACGACAAAGAATTTTCTTAATAGCTTTACACAACAAACAAAATGATTACACTACAATGTGAATGACAGTAAGATAAAGTGTTAATTACTCGACTTATTAATATTCACTTTTCACTAAACATTTCACACAACTATGTTATAAAGACAGTAATTTATTTACTCATATTAATGTTGATGTTCACAGTCCCACAATTAGCTCCTTGTAGTAGTCCGATTAAACAGGTTTAACTTTGGATATTGCAACTGAGCTGTTCAGTTTAAACCACAAAACAGACTATACACGACTTCATGGCGGTATTCTTTACCGTTTCTCTTCCGTACTTCTAGGGTTAATCGGCTAAACCAGTGATTAATTTCGCGTCAACGCTCATCTCCTGCAAATCTGGCACACGCTTGAATACTTCACTCTCGGCTTCAAAATCACGAAACTCGGTATTTCTTGCATTTGCCCATGCTTTATAAACATTCGTGCTCCACCTAGTGTGTTTGATAGTGTTCTCAGGCGTTCTGTTATCTCTAACTTTCTGAACATCGACTTTCATAACAAACGTAACAAACGAGAAACGTTTATCCGCCATATCATTGTTAATGAGCGTCCAAAAACAAGACCTGAATTGAGTTCAAAAGTAACTCATTTTATTATTCACAGGGTGTATAAAAAAAAGGAGACCTTTAGAAATCAACCATATTGTTAAAATTTGAATGCATTTTCAATTGCACATATGCTGAACTGTAGTGCGTGAAATATTGATGGGGTGCATATATTAGAAAAAGGAGACCCTTAGAAATTGAAATAACGTTTAAACAAAAGATTATCTGCTCCTGGGAATAATCTGCCATGCATACTGTAGGTAGATCGCATGTTACGCACTCGTGGGCTTAGCAAAGTGCTCCAGAATTCAAATTACAGGGTGTATCCGAAAAAACTGAACAGATTTAAAATTGCTCTCAATTTCGCAAAACAGCTATTTGTATCTGTTTTTGTATATATAGCTTCTTTGGGTACTTATAATGTAAAATAATGAAAAAAATTTCTCGAACTCAAATTTTGTGAACCAGGGGGGAGGGGTGTCTTTTCCAACAAACTAAAAATGGCTCGCGCACAAAATTTAAAAGCTACAATCATATTTTGAGTTAACAGATGGAAAATTTGTCGGGATTTTAATTACTGTACAAAATTTCAGACAATTTGGTTTAGTTTAAGCCCCTTAACTATTCACGCAAAGTTACAATTTTCTCGAAAAATCAGCTATTTGCATTAGGCCGTATTCTGTGGCCGATTATCGTTCAGTTCCGCTGCCCCCAATCGGGACCTAATATTTTGCACCATAAATCAGAAGTTAGGAACATAAGAAGCCAAAACTTACTTGTTGTCACCTCTGAAGACCCGCAGTTTTTTCAGGATATGCTTCGAAACTTGTTGATTTTACTATAGTGATTAATCGTCCGCCATATTGTTTTTCAATGTTTTTTCGCTCGTGCGCATGATCAAAACCAAAATTATTAAGGTGGCTACATACATTTTTGTGATGAATTAATTAATCGTTGAGACTTCAAAGCAGGGCCGTGCACAGCGGGGGAGGGGGGACTGCCGAGAAAACTGTATTTACGATTTTTAGAATGTCATTATTAATTATTCTTTGGATATTTTGGTACTTTTTTCGGCATATAGGCCTTACTGCCGCCCTGCTTTAAAGCATGCATGCCCTTCGAAAAATTCGCGCAAATTTGGGTCATAATTTTCAAGACATTTGTTACTGAAAATACATTTACAATGCAACTAAATAATGATTTCCCATACCCTCAATTTTCGTGATTACAATTGACTTTCTTACAATCGCATTTCGTATCCTGTTTTATGCAATTTTACCTGGGACTGGGGATTAAAACACGGTGTATTATTCTCTAGATATGACACAGTAATAAATATTCAAATTGCGTTACCTTATCGATAAAACTCTGCATATGTTGGAAATAATGCTTTCGCTTTAGAAACTTGCATGGTGCGCAAGAACCAGATTCTGTACATGAAAGATTATTACTGGATTAGTCCATGTAAAACTCGTCATCGCTTTCTTGTTCGTTATCAAAAGAACTTGAAGAAGCGGGTAATCTATCGAAATTTAACTCGTAATCTTCGTCATCTTCTTGCTGACTATTTTGACAGCTTATGCAGCCACACAATTCATTACATTTGAGTCCAGATTTAACGCAAGAACAGCGCATCGTTTTGCAACCAGTTTTACACCTACAATGGATGCAATTAAGAAGCATATCAGAAGCAGGGGGACGTGTCATCCATTCAATTTCCAATTGCCCACCGACCAATTTCCAACCATTACCCGCTGCAGGTGGAAGATTTTGTTGACATGTCAAAGACTGAACCCAGGTAGCTGCTTGAAAATTCGCCTTTTCAATGTGCTTCATCAGGCTATCAGAATTTGGGGGAAGAGCATCGCCGCCACACTTTCCGGAAATAAAAAGACTGTACCTGCAACGATCAACGCTCGTCAAAATTGTGTTGCCATAAAGCAAGCAAACGAATCTATTAAGTGAAGTAACGACATCTTCTGATACTGGAAACGATTCTCCAAGTTTACAAAAACTTTCTCTAAATTCTGGGTAGTTTTCCAGTATTTTCCAAGGCTTGAGTTTTCCTTTTCCAAGAAAGGCGCTCGTAGAATCACATCCTATAAAAAGGAGACGTAACGTTGTCAATGAAACTAGTGTAGGCAGCAAACACAAACTGGTAAAAAGCTTAAAAATATTTACCCGAGAAAGCATGAAATCCTGGCAAGCATTTGCATAAAACTTCACCGAGTGAACGCGAGATAGCTGATATATCTATGATGCAAAGTTTGTTGCCAGTGCCAGTCATCAACAACAATGGCTTTGTAATGTTGTTCTGGTTAGCGATGCACAGCACAAATACATCCGTGTCGGAACATTTAACAATTATGCGGTCGTGACTGAATGATGCGTTTTGAGAGTGTAGCAATAAACGCGTGTCAGCTTCTTCGTGGTTACTCTCTAGTTCCCGTATTTCTTGATGTAGTAGAACAGCATTTGGAGAGGAACCAGGGACTAATAAATAGCATTTGTCTTTTGAAGTGATATACATACACTCTAAATTATTGAGTTTAGAAGTTTCATATGTACACCAGTACTCGCATAAGAAAGCCACTAACGATTCTTTGTTCTCTCCAGAGCTCATGTATTTTCTCCACTGCTTTGGAACTTTCTGATATTTGTTCAGGATACGAACTCTCTGCACTCCTTGAGCAGCTCTTCTTGATCTTTCAGCATTTTTTATACTAATTACTGGATACCTGTCTGCAACGAAATCCAGTCTAACTGCTTTCGATTGCCTGGCTAGCTTCATCAACAAAGCAAATGTAGCGTCTGCAAAGTCACTAAATGTTTTCCAACTTCCTTTCATCGCATGCAAGATCGCAAAGGCGTCAACAATAAGTGCATTACGTTCGCCAATGCTCTCGAAGTTCACAACTGGATCTTCAACCATACTTTTCAGAATTTCGAACATCTTGGACTTCGCCGTTTTCACAAGCCCTCCAGTAACCGTAGCAAGGGAAAGCGGGTGATCGCTTAGACTGTAAGAGAGTAATTCTTTCAAGTCCAATTCCTGCGATTTAGACATAACAAGTAGCCGGGCGAAAAGGTTTCGATCTGTCTTCAAAGCAATCAGCTGGCCTTTGCAGTTTTTGATCTTTACATTGTCAGACGAAAATGTTTTAAGTTTGTTCTTTTTAATCGAATTGAAGATGTCTGGATTATCGGTAAAAAGATTCTTTTGACAAAATTCAGAAAACTGACATTCTCCAAGTTCTTCAGCATTGAGGATTCCGTCTGCAGTGAAAGCATCGACTTCCACGCCATTTGAAATATTAACAAGACCGGTCTGTTCGCCAATGAAAGGATTTGTCATATTTGAGATGGTGGATTTAGCCTCATTTACAGACTTCTCGTGCCTTTCACTCTTGGTTCTATCGAGATCCTTCCTAAGCCTCGAAAGAAATAATGTTTTGATAACGATATGGAGCCAGATAGGGATCGCCCCCCTCCCCCAACCCACAGCTAGTATGTTAAAAAAGGCCCTGTTTGATGAAGTAAAAATTAGAATAAACTTTACCGAGGAATACAATCCATTCCGGCCATAGATTTACACGTTTGGGTTATTGCGGCTCTTTCTGACTGTGACAGCAACCATCTATGGACAGACGCTCTGTTCATTGAAAAGCCAGTCAAACCACCCTTGGTTTTTGAATCTCGATTAACGGTTTGCTCTATGGTTTGATCGCATGCCACGGATGAGAAACCATGATCACTTTGCCGCTGGACAAAAAAGTTAGAAGACAACTCTGGTAGAATACCTTTTAATCAAACAGAAAGAGCATGTCTTAGTTTATTAATTTATAAAATTGGAAGTTTTTAAAAATCGTGATCTCAATTTGTGTCGGTCATATAAATGTAATCACCTTGGCATGTTGACATACCTGGATGAGTATTTTCTAAGGACGTCATCTCTAGCCAATACGCTGAACCGTATCTCGCATAATTCACTCTGTCACACGCGAAAAACCAGGGAATCATCGACCGAAATGCTGACAAATGAAGTTCCCAATCAACCTGTCTGGTGGCTCGAATAAACATTAATAGAATGCCTGTGAAAGCAAAACGAGAAAACATTAAAGATAATATCGAATAATGCCTGACCAGCCAATTTGTTTTTTTATGTCTTATCGCTTTACCTGTCATTCTAATATACATGCTCCAGTAGGCAAAAGTCTTCGATGTTGCTGAAGATTCTGCGATGAAGTTATCGTAACGATCTATTAAATCAGCAAACTGGTCACTTTGAATGAAGTCGTTCAGTTTATCTTCAAAGAAAGTATCCCACGCCGCCTGAACAACTAATTGGACATTCTCTCTAGATTCATCGTCCAATGCTTCCAAGAATGCTTCGAATCGCAGACGCTGTAACGCCTCATAGATAATTTTGTGACTCGTTATGGACCTGTTGTAGTGTTTACCAGATAAAACACCTGAAATTGATCCCTCGCTTACAAGACCAGACTCGATCAGGACATCCTAAGAAAAATAATAAATTATAATTTAATGAAAAAGGTATGGGAATTCCTGTAAACCTTTTCAGAGAACTGCCATTGATTAATAGAACCACTTATACGGTTACGTAGAGAATAAGTTAATTAAGACACGTCTTATACAAGACGTGAAAACCTTCGTAAAATTGGACAATTTGTTTGTAAGTAAAGTAAGTCCGTACAAATGTTTATCATTAAGAATGATAGAAAAATAAACGACTTAGTGTCAGCAATTTCTTCATGGTACTTATCATGTTTGAGTATGACATACCTTTAATCCTCCGTCTTGAAAAATCCTGGCAACCGAAGACAAAAATGACATAATCACATGAAATTTCCCAAGCCGCACAACAAAACGATTGTAGAAAACGTCATTTTTCCACCTGATCTGCTGTACTTTAGAATATATAGCTTCATCGAATACCAGTGTTGCAAATCGTAGCTGCAATTTGTCGGCAATTTCCGTGCACCTTTTTAGAATAGCATGAATCGTTGAAAACTCTGTTGGCGATGCGTCAATAACGGGAAGATAACCAATCCTTGAAACAGGCTGGATTATATCCTCACACAGTATTGTGTTAAAGCCAGTCCATCCTGGAACGATATAGTCATCTGACGGTACACTTTTAATCAACACGTAAGCCAAATCAAGTTGTTGGGCCGTTTTACATGCAGTCGTATTAGTAACTAATTCTGAATTATGAAACTTGGGCGTCTTTTTAACTCCAAGACTGAAAGGCAAGACGTTTGAACTGGGTACTTTCACCGTCCGCTGGCATTTTTTTATCGTTACAGTCTGTTCCGGATAAACTTGCTTTTCTGACGTGATCCTCTGAGTAACAATACCGTTAGTCACATGTGTCTGTTTAGTGATCTCCTCCCCAAAATCAATGTTCTCGTAAACTATGTTGACAGCTTCATTTGCAACGAATTCTTTTGGAATCAAATTTGCTATATTGATATTCAATTGCGCGATTGCTGTGTCATAAGACATTGTGGTGGATAAGGACACACAATGTCCAAGACCATTCAAGATATCAATAAGGCCAGAACAACCTGATATTTGTCTGACAGATATAGCCAATGCTAGGGACTTTGGTGTTTGGGTCTTTCCTCTACTGCTATTATACACAATGTCTTGGCAGATTGAAAACGCCTTGACGGCTAGTTTCTCATCTAGATCAACATATTCTGACTCCGCTGGATCATCCGAGTAGCCAAGCAACCAAGCAACAAAATTATATAAAATAGGAGACACAGTTTTCTTTACACTTTCGCTAGTCATATCAGATGCCAAAGGAGGCCAATTATCATACCATGATTCTTGATGCTGACGAATATTCTCTTTCAATGTAAGCGCAGATAAATATAGTTCTTTTAAGTTTGGAACCATCTTGTCATTTTTCCTTGGGGTGTCTTGAATTAGTTCACCGATTTCGTCATTCTCCGTCTCATCCGAATCGCTCTGCTCCTCCGTAGTCAATATCATCTCTGCTACATTTCCGCGACTTAGGTCTTCTGCATAAACAATCTCACTTCTGTTCCTGACCTTTGGTGTATGGAAAACGAGATGCGGAAATCTTTCTTGCAGCCTTGCTTTTAAACGAAATGTTCGGTAGTTTGATGCGTCTTCATTTTCCAAATCTTTAACAATCTTTACAAATTCATTCTTTAGCTTATTCATGTAAAATATGTTGTGGTCGTCGATAATGTTTTTCTTCACATAAACACAAAAAGAATCAAACGACTTGTCATATATCCGTTCTTCGAATTCTCCCTCCGTTACATTTATGTGCTCCACGGGAGATACGTAGCGCTTGTAACAACGTCTATGGTACTTTACTTCTGCAGCAACACAGTCCTTGTTTATAATTTGAAGAAGAATCCTTTCATCATTCTTCTTTCTTGCAGCCTCTCGTAGTTTCCCTCCGTCCATAGTTTCCGAGGAGACTAAGCGGTCCAATTTGCGTTTTTTTGTGACCTATATATTAATTATAAACAAAACACGAGATATTAAATTTATTTTATTTTGAAGTTTAATTGAGCGGCAACAAATCGTACAAAGCAGCTTAGAAACAATGCGGTCGTTATATCGTTTTTGAAAGCCTTTACATGCACATCACCACCGGGTCAGTGATGTTAGAGCCTAGGGCCTAGGAAATGGAGTTAAGCAAAAATCAGTACAAAAATCAATTACTCACTGATTCAGTAATATACGTGTTCTCTTTTTGGCAAATAAGACAAACAGGTGGCAAAACATTCCTATTCCGAGATTTAAAAGCATTTGACTTGTCAGATCTCATTAGTTTTTTTGGTGGAAGAGAATGTTCACTCATTGTCTCTTGAACCTTTTGATCATCCGCTTCTACTGCGACTGATTGCTTTGAACATCTAGATTGAGCACGTTTGATCGAGGTAACATTAGTGAATTTTGAGTAACATTTTCTATGGTAAAGTAAATTCTGGATCATATGCAGTGGATGCTCCAGACTTCTGATATTTCTGACGATATCACTCGTTCTTTCAGCTATCTCTTGCTGTTGACCATCTAGCCCTATCCATTGTTCGTGGCTTGTTAGGAACTTTTCAAACGACGTTTCAGTGAAGCAAGTAAGGGGTCCTTCCTCTCCTTCAAAGTGGATTATGCAGGTTGGCGAACTAAGATTGATTTCCACCTCCTGGCCCTCCATGGTATCCATATTAGAACATCAACATCACTGGTGCGCACATAAAGAGTGCAAACGTTTTCGCAAAAAAAACCAGTTCTACTGTTCTAGCACCGTTAACTTTTGTACTTTTTATATATTAATATTATATTCTGAGATTGCGTTGTTGAAAAATCAACTAAAAGATGAATTCAGCTTACTTTTTAAGATCAAATACACATTTTCCAAAGTTTTTCGCGTTTTTTATTTATACATTTGCTTAATTTTCCCGCTCTAACCCCTCTGAGCATGCGCATTGGACTCAAAAAACCTATTTAACCTGCATAAAAAGGAGTTTGCCTGCGAACAGGCGTCCTCGAAGCTCAAAACAATATGGCGGGCGATCGAATTTCTGTGTATTATTTAGTGAACATTTGCAAGGCTATTGCGAAAAAACTGCGGGTTTACGGAGATGACAACAAGTAAATTTGTATAAGGTAAGTTAAAAACTATAGTATAAAGCTTTTAAAACTTAGGTCCCGACTGGGGGCAGCGGAATTTAATTTCTAGGCATATTTTCGTGCCACAGAATACGGCCTACATGCTTAATTAATGCATTTGCCTAATTTGCATATGTCAGCAATATGCAAATTAGGTAAAGGCATTAATTAAGAATGCGAAAAGCTGACTTTTTAGAACAAAATGAATAGTTAAAGGGCTTAAACTAAACCAAATTGTCTGAAATTTTGTACAGTAATTAAAAACCCGACAAATTTTCAATCTATTAACTCAAAATATGATTACAGCTTTTAAGTTTTGTGCGCGAGCCATTTTTAGTTTGTTGGAAAAGACACACACCCCTGGTTCACAAAATTTGAGTTCGAGAATTTTTTTTCATTATTTTACATTATAAGTACCCAAAGAAGCTATATATATAAAAAACCAGATACAAATAGGTGTTTTGCGAAGTTGAGAGCAATTTCAAATCTGTTCAGTTTTTTTTGATACACCCTGTATAACAATGGTTGATTTCTAAAGGTCTCCTTTTTCTAATACAGGGTGTATAAAAAAAAAAGCAACCTCGGAATTTCCTAAGAAATCACTTTGCAATTCTTAAGCATAAAAGATTTTAGGCCCGTGGGAATTGAAATCGAATTGCTAATAGATCATATTACTGTTGTTGTGCATTAAATAAATGCATAAATTTTGCTTTATGCACTCGCGTGTGCAATAATTTTGACAGTTGTCCTATTTTAAATTCCCAGGCGCCTAAAATCTTTTGTCTTTAAAACCATGTCGATTTCTTGGGAAATTCCGAGGTTGCGTTTTTTTTTTATACACCCTGTACTGTATATGCATCCCATCAATATTTCACGCACCACTGTTCAGCATATGTGCAATTGAAAAGGCATTCAAATTTTAACAATATGCTTGATTTCTAAAGGTCTCCTTTTTTTATACACCCTGTATATTAAGAATTGTTTATTCCCAAACGAATTTCCGACAATGGAAAATTGTTGTATAATCACTGATCATGCATTGTATTACACAATACTCGTACTATCAATTAATTTTGTACAATGAAAACACTAGCCTCATGCACCTCGGTCATCATGGTATTACAAACTAATACCATGGTTTTTAAGAATATAGTGATTAAATCTCCCGCGAACCGAGGAGTTTTGTGAAAGTCCCTCGGGACGCCTTCGGGCTTCGCCCTCAGGCTTTCCCTCGGGACTTTCACAAACCTCCCTCGGTTTGCGGGAGATTTAATTACTATATTCTTAAAAACCATGGTATTACTTATAATAAATTCCAGAGGCTTGGGCAAACCTTGCTTCCAGACATCTATAATATCATCTCTGTAGCGCCTGCAAAGCTCTGGCTTTATATTTCCGCTAGTTTTGGCTAATCTATCTATTTCCCCCATAGCTATATATCCGCATAACTACATGCATTCGTAGGACACATAGCTGTACCATGTTTCTGTAGAAAATTCATTTCCACAAACTGGCAGTTATTACATGTTAAGCAAATTTCAACTGCTTCAACAATACATTTAGTTGAGGGAAATTTATTTCTCTCGAATCTAACGCTTTCTTGACTGCAGTTATACCTAAATTGTTATCGATGTTGGAGAACATGACTACGACATCCCATGATACTAGTAACGTGTCAGGTGGCAAAGGACCCTTCTCATTTAGCTTATCTATCTCATTGATTAAATGCGTCGTGTCCTTAATAAAAGCAGGTAGTTTCTTGGCTAATGGTTTAAGGTAGAATTCTGTTAATTCCGATAGCCTTTCTATGGCAGTCCCGCAGCAAGATGTGATAAGTCTAAGAGGGTTGTTTTTTTGTGTTTTAACATTCCCAAATGCTTCTCCAGCTTTGGGTTCCAAATTAACAACCCAGTTAGCTATCTTACTTGTAATTTGCTGCTGAACTAGCCATTTATCACTCCACTCTTTAACTCTATCTAAATCAGTGTAATTTGGTACGATTATCTGAAGTACTCAAATAGTGGAGTGGATCACTAAAATTGCTCTAACATTTTCCCATTATACTCTTCTTTATCAATTAGCACAAACCTAGAACCCTTATCTTGAATCCTAATGATATTGTTAGAGTTGCATTTTAAATTTTTAATAGCTATCCTTTCTTCTTTAGTTAAATTGTCTCTCGCTTTTCTAATATTACCAGGGTTCAGGGCTTCTTTTCTAACGTTGGTCAGGAATAATTCGATTGCTGGATTGTTCGATTTGGGTGAAGTCCAGTTCTTAGTAGATGGTACCAAAGGGAATATTAGGTTTTCCCTTTTGTTGGGTTCATTCTCAGGGTTGTTCTTCTGGTGGTAATATACTGCCAACCTTATTCTTCGTTCAAACCGTTCGAGATCATCATGTAACTGCATCCAGTTTATATCCTTTGGCATTGGGCAGAAGGACGGACCTTTAGCTAAGATGTCTTTCTCGCTCTCAGTTAAATAGTCGATGTTAATTTATTGCTTCTAATGTCGGCAACTCGGGTAAAGTCAGGGCTTGAGCGGATTGTTCGATTGCTTCAGTTCTCTTCGGTCTGTCTGTTTGTTCGGTCTGTTTGAACCCTGGTAATATTAGAAAAGCGAGAGACAATTTAACTAAAGAAGAAAGGGTAGCTATTAAAAATTTAAAATCTAACAATATCATTAGGATTCAAGATAAGGGTTCTAGGTTTGTGCCAATTGATAAAGAAGAGTATAATGGGAAAATGTTAGAGCAATTAAGTAATCCACTCCACTATTCAAGTACTTCAGATAATCGTACCAAATTACATTTAGATAGAGTTAAAGAGTGGAGTGATAAATGGCTAGTTCAGCAGCGTGTGGACGTGTGTCGGACCTTACGCTTGGAGAATGGCTTTATTTCCACTGATGTTTATGCAAAGTCTACAGGTTCACCCTCAAGTTCGCCCCTTGTGAGGTAATCTGGAATCCGGCTTTTTGTTGGTTTAGGAATCCGGAATCCAGAGTCTTGGAATCCAGAATCCAGACAGTGGAATCCGGAATCCAAATAACTGAGGAATCCAGAATCCAGAGCCCAGGTTGTTCTGGAATCCATTCATGTTTTATTAATTTAGAAAAAAAAACATAAAAACATAAAAAACATTGCTAACCATCTCCTCTTTTATTTAACTCCAGGAAATATGTTCAGGCTCTTTCAAGTTTCATGACCAAATAGTCCAAATACATGAAATTTGAGAAACTGTTTGCGCCCGTCCGGCTTTCGATTACTAGCGGGTGTAGACACATTCTTATATACCGTTTGCATCTTGGTGCTGTTTATAGACAATAGCGAGCTTAAAATGCACCAAATCTACGACGCGGTCGTGGACAAAATTTGTAACTATTCCCACAGTCTCATTACACGGATGAAAATTAAACCAAGTCAGAGACACAAGTGAATTGGTAAACAAAGTCAGAGACACAAGTGAAGCTGCATATAATAAAACTAGATTCCAAACATTAGCAACGGTTTTTACGTCACGTTCCCGTCGTAAGCCTTGGGCAAACTAGGAAACATTGTTGCGGAAACATTGTGATTCGCCATGTTTCCGCAAATGTTTTTCCTACCCGTGGAAACATCGTTACAGAAACACAATTTGCTTCCCGAGAAGCAGAAATGTTTCCTATGAAATTCAGAAACATTTCATGTTTCCCAAGTGCGATTTTTGTTGCGGAAGTATTGTTTCTCCACCTTGGGAAACATGGCGAAACAATGAAACATTGGCAGGAAACAATGTTTCCTAGTTTGCCCAGAGCTGTACATTTGGTGCATCTGAAGCTCGCAAGTAGATTACACCCCATATAGCACCGGAAGTGATTCAAGCGAATGACATCAACAGGGGGTGTACGTCCGAGCGTTCGTACTTAGCGTGCGTACTTAGTGTACGTCCAAGCGTTTGTCCAAGAGTTTGTAGTTTCGCCTATGGAATTCCGGAAGCTATGCAATTTGTTAGAGACAATATTTGCACAAACTGTTTCTTGCGAGGTTTATGAGCTTTTTGAAGAGAGGTGCTGTGGTTGTCAACTAAATCGCTTTAGTCAGAGTGAGTGTCTTATGTTATCGTATGAGGAGAGATCGCAGATGTATTATGATTTGGAAGCCATAGAGCGAGTTAGCAAAAAAGACGTGGTATGGAATAAGTTTGTTGAGGTGACCAAAGTTTTAGAGCTTCAGTGGGATGAAAACGTGTTTGAATATTGGAATCAATTGAGGAGAGACCCCATGTATGTTAAATCAATGATGAGTGTGGAGAACCGTGAGATGCTGAGTATTCTAGACAAACTTTCTAACTGCAAAGAGGATTGTTGTGATGACCCACTTGAACCTGGGGCTATGCTCTTTTTTTCAATGCCCCCTAGTTTTAAGTATACTGTGAAAGCGACAGGCGAGCAATTTAGAAGTCATGAAGAAGATCATTATAAGGCATATGTGGAATATTTGAGAAGTAAATTTTGAGATTCAGTGTAAATATGTTTATTCTTTTTTGTAAAATTGGTGCAGTTTCTTTTATTCAAGTTCCCATAGTATTACAACAATTTAAATGCTTCTTTTAATAAGAAAGCCAACTTAACTTATTTATTCTTATAATCAACTCTCTACTAGCATGAGTACAATGATTAATCATCAGAAAGTTTATATTCCACATATATTTTACGATAACTCTTAATTCTCGTACGAAAGATTACATTATAAAGCGGCAAGGATAATTTTTATCTTGCCCAAGGACATGGCGTCAAGTGAAGTACTTAAACATGACCGCTGGTCATCATTTTTACATATTATAAACTAGATACCTTTGCGCTGTGTTGTGGAATTTTGTACATTATAATGAACAGGGAGTAGAACATCATCAGCTTAAATATTTAAAAGAACAGTTACGTTTAAGTAGCTACTTTATAGATTTAAGTTCGATGTTGCCTCTGCCTCAACTATGCGGTTCAGGCAAAGTGACTATGTATATATTTAATTTAATTAGTACATGTACATCTAATATTTCATTTTCATAGTTAACTCATAGATGTATAGTTTTATTATGTACACACAGGTCTGGATCATAGATATAGGAGACCTAGATTGCTGACTCGGCTGAAGAGGCGCGCCAAATTTGAAAATCCAAGATGGCGGCTCAACCGGTCAAAAATCATAGAGCGAGATAGGGAAAAACCATGTTTTTTGCATTTTACGTCGTCCTACTGTTTCCGATCCCGTTGAACCACCTTTTTTTTGGAAGAACTAACTGGTGTGAAAGTTTTGGATGTATATTTGTTATAATTAGTACGATTTACAGTTTAAAATTCAACCGGGCAAGAATGGGCAAAGACGAAAATGGCGCGAAACTGCCGGCCTGGTTTCTTATCCTGTGTATTCCTTCAGTCTTTTACCAGTTTTTCTAAAGTAATGTAACATATATCTGATTATTCCAAAAGTTACTATTATTTATTTTGTTCTTTCATTGTTATTTCGACGAAAATACAGTATTTTCATCTGAAAATTCTAGGGCATTCTATTCTAAAAAATCTGTTTTTCTATCGAAAAGAATGCCTTGAATCTCGGCCTGTTTTGTGTGCTGAGTGTAACTGCAAGGCCAGACGTGGGGATTTAAAAGATGGTATTCGCTTGTCCTTCCATAAGTAAGTCTATGAAACACACATCGTATATTTGTACACTATAACATACTTCATATAAACAGAATAGTACAAGACTATTAAAATAAGACAGCTTTTAATAGCATAAAAACAATTTGTTTTGTAAATACAATAATGACACCAAATGTAGTTTTGAGCTTGTTGCCTACAATATAAAACTGTTTACAGTTTTAGTAAAAGAACATTAGACCAAAAGAACTTCTTGTTTTGGTGTCTGTGTTAGGAGTCTATATATAATTATATATATGCATGTTGACAATAACTTTCATAGAGGTCCTTGCCTGTTGAAGGTCAAAAAAATTGAGTTTTGTTCACATCAGTGAACCAAAAATACATATTTCCCTTCACACTATTTAGATTTCCTATAACCAATCCCAGCCGGCTAAAAAGTTGGATAACAGCAATGAAATGGGCAGACTGGATGCCAACCAAATATTCAGTATTGTGCGAGAAACAACTTACACCCAACAACTATATTAACCCATTAAGTCGCATTGTGCCCTGATGTGCCCTACTTTATTATTTTATTTTGTCTAACAGCATTACGGCAGATGATTTTACTTGTCAAGGGGAGAGTGTTGGTACTTAATGGGTTAACTGGCCATGGGTCCGGTTAACCCATTGAGTTGCACCCTACTTTATTATTTTACTCTAACACCAGATAATTTTACTTGTCAAGGGGAGAGTGCTTACTGCTGGGTTAGTAAGGGAAAGCAATTAATAAAAGGCCAATCCAAGAAATAGCTGAAAGAATATGCTGTCCCATCTATTTTTTATTTATATCAATGATGAATCAATCAGGTTTCTTGGAGAGAACTAGATATACTGTGAAGGTTTTTGATGCATACTAGACAAATTAGCCAGTTTCTTCAAAATAGTTTCCATTGAAAACTTTTGCTGTCACTAGTTCTCTTTAAAATCCTGTTTGATTCATCACATTTCACTGTCCAGGCCATATAGACTTGAGATCCCTTGACATCTGCAGCAGCAAGGTCATCAAAGTCACACTAAAACACTTGTAAACAGAGCATCATAGTTTTCGCACCAGCAGACCAGGTAAATCAAGCAAAATAGGTTTTAAACTTCAAAATACTTCACAATATTATTCCCTGTTATATATCCCAACCGAGATCCTCGAGAAAAAAAGCACCCAAAGAACCAAAACCTTTAATTTCTGCAATAAAATGTCTCGAACTGCTCAACCGACCATGTGATGATTTTCAGAAAACATTTAGCGATCGATTATTTCGTCTTTATTCAACTTAAATTGTACAAATATTCATCCAAAACCTTCACACCAGTTAGTTCTTCCCCAAAAAAGGTGGTTGAACGGGATCGGAAACAGTAGGCAGGCGTAAAATGCGAAAAACATGGTTTTTCCCTATCTCGCTCTATGATTTTTGACCGGTTGAGCCGCCATTTTGAATGCTCATGTTGGCGCGTCGCGTGCGTAATAGAATACATTACAGTCAGCAATCTAGTTCTCCTATATCTATGGTCTGGATATGAGCTATTCTGCAATCTGATCGGTTCTCTACTAACAGGATATTAGCTCATATCCTGCTAGTAGAGAAAAACAATATGGCGGCCAAACTGAATTTACGATGTTTTGCAAACGAGAAAACGGCAAGTTGTCGCTTTTTATAGCCTTCACAGGATTAAAAACACAATGAAAAAACTCCCACAAATGGTTTACAGGTTAGCAAATAAATTTTTAATATTTAAAATGGTTGAAAATATATATTTTTGAAAAAATAATCGGCCGAAAGAGCGAAGATAAAAATATAAACAAAATAGAAAAATATTGAAAATATTCGAAAAGCAAAGTCTGTGAATTCAGACCTTGTGTATATAATAAAACAGTTATTCCACTCACTCTCGTCGAATATGAGCGATAGCCGATTCGGCGCTACGTGCCTCATCGGCTATCAGCTCATATTCGACTCGAGTTCCGTCGTAGAATAACTGTTAAATACACACGACCCCACAAGCTTGCAGCTTTAAACATTATCGTGTTAAAATAAAGGTTATCTATCTATCTATCTATCTATCTATCTATCTAACAGTTTTGTACGTACAATTTAGTACGAACAATTTCGTACGAACAGAAACGTGCGTACGCTTTATGTTAATCCATGTATTAATTGATGCATGTCAGTTAACCAATGCAGTATCTTTGGCAATAATATTTTGCTCTTAAAATCAGTAGGAAAACGTGTTACTTCTTTATCTCCCTTTTGAGCAAGCATCGGAACATTTTAAAAACTTTGGGAACGGATCATGAAGCGACTCTTGATTTCTTGAGACGGACTTCAAGCTTTTGGCGATAAATAAATTGGTTTTAAATTTCCTGTCCCGCGTTTATACCCCCGCGCAGTGTGGCGTCGCACGGAAAGGTCGCACGCAAAGGTTAAGCTGTGAATTAAGGTCGTACGCGGACGAACATGATGTGCACGTGATTCATCTCACTTTACACTACATTTGCGGGGGCCGCTGTGCATGAGGTTTATCGTATTAGTTTATGTGTGAATTAGAATGTTTAAAAAACTAAGCTGTGTGTTAGTTTATGCGTGGCGTAAGAAAGTCCTGGGCGGCCTGGGTATAGGGACACCTCTCAAAGTGTCCTGCAAGCAAGTTCCGGGCGTCCCATGCGTATGAGCACATGCTCATAAGTGCTCATGAGCACATGCTCATCTGCTCATAAAACTGCAATACTGCTCAATAGCAAGGCATTTCTGCACAGTCAGTGCTAACTGAATGAGCTGCCAATTTTGCGGAAAGCAATTTAATCGTGGTTACTGTACGGAAATTCCGTATATTATTGAACTAAACTCGATAAAGATTAAAATAAAAACTATAATTGTACAAAAAACAGAACAACAACTAAATTTCCATGTGCTCGCTATAAAAGACCCCGTGCAAAAGACCCCCGGAGCTAAATCCCCGGGTAACTATAACGTCTAATTTCATACACACTCCCCCCGATTAAATGACGCATGTCAGTTAATAATGTCAACAATGATCACAGTATAATGTATCTGCGATAACAAACAAGTACTTATCGTCCACGTTTGCTCTGCTGCTTCCTGGCTTCGATAGCTGCAACTCGTTCTGACCTTCTTACTGGAACACTTGTAGTTTCGTCAGTGCGAGATCCCTCGACTGGATATACTTTCTGAACAGGTCGCTGCAACGTTGTTTTTTTTCCTTTGTTCCATATTCGGAGTGCAACTGCTCTAACCTGACCATCGTTTCCTTTGAAAAGTTTTTCGACCTTTCCCAATCTCCATAGATTCCTTGGAGTTTTCTCTTCGTACACGCAAACTATATCTCCTTCCTTGGGATTCGCCTTCGCACTTCTTCTGACTCCTTTGACACGATGATGTTCTCTAAGCTCTAACAAATACTCGCGACTCCATCTTTTCCAGAAATGTTCTAATAATTTCTTCAAATAAGTTGCGCGACGCGACAGACTTCCATTACCCGCAGGAGTGTCAGTCTCATCTCTCACGACAGGTGCTTGACTGAGAAGGCGACGACCCATAACTAAATGCGAAGGTGTTAACGGACCTTCACAACTTCGTCACTATACACATACGTCAGTGGACGACTGTTGATAACGCCCTCTATTTCCACTAAGACTGTTTCCAATTCCTCGTACGTCAATGTAGCTCTTCGAACATTTTTTCTCAGGCACCTTTTCACCGATTTCACAAGTCTTTCAAAAAATCCTCCCCACCAAGGGGCTCTCTCAATGTTGAATTTCCAGCTGATGTTATTTCTGGTTGCGAATTCTGCCAGCTCGTTTGCCTTAAAGGTTTTTCCATTGTCCGAAATAAACATTTTTGGGATACCTCTTCTGGACATGAATCTCTGTAAACAGCGAATAAATGCCTTTGTAGATAGATCTGGAACCAATTCGAGATGTAATGCTCGTGACGAGGCACACGTAAATAGACAGATATACGTCTTAAAAAACAGGTGATTTCGTACCTTTTGGGAAGATTGGTTTGGCATAAACGGGACCTGCGAAGTCCACACCGACTCGCGTGAAGGCAAAATCGTCAGAAACTCGAAAATCTGGTAATGATGGTTGAGGTGGTATTTGATAAGTTCCCCCTTCGTATCTCTTGCACGTAGTACATTTTGCAATAATCTTCTTGACAAATTGTCTTCCCTTCGCAATCCAATGTTCTGAACGAATTTCGCAAAGTGTTTCTCTTACACCATCCATTGTGCATTACTCTCCTGTGACATTCTTCCACCAACAAGGTAGAAAACCAATGATCATTGGGCAAGAAAACTGGATGTTTAGCAGAAAGTTCAATATTAGCATTGGATAATCTTCCACCACATCTCCAGATACCACAATTATCCTTGAATAGACCCAGTGATGCTTGAACTTGCTTGAAACTTTTGCTTGTTTGAAACGCTCCTTGTATGTGCTTATACCATATATGCTTAGCTTCTGTTATTTCTTCAAGGGAAAGACGACTTAGATTTGGTTCAGTTCCGGCAACCTTTGTCCGAAGGTTTGCGATGAATCTTAGAACATAACTCGTAACTCTTAGCAGTTTACAAAGAGTGCTGTATCGTTCCTTTGGCAAAATGTTCTCTAACGATAATTGCGATTGCTTTTCTGTAACATTGTCATTGGCACATGACAAGCTGGCTGCACTAGTTGGTTTGGATTTGACTTCTCTCTCGCTTTGAATTCGAGCCTCATCGTTTATACAAATAATTTCTTCACCGTCCTTTGACCATTCAGGATCATTTCTTACCAAGAAGTCTGGTCCATTCCACCATAACTTGCTCTGACTCAGTTCTGAAGGTAACATACCTCTTGACACAATATCTGCTGGGTTGTTAGGTCCCGGACAGAATCTCCAATCTCTCACAGACACCAACTTACGGATTTCTACCACACGATTTTGGACAAATTGCTTGAATTCTTTAGAAGTACCCTTTATCCACGATAAAGCTATCATCGAATCTAACCAGCAGTAAACTGAAGTTATCTTGATTACGTTTGCGAACGCTAACTGAACTGAGTGAATAAGTCTCGCTAAAACCAAAGCCGATAAAAGTTCTAGTCGGGGAATGGTTTGCTCGGTTAAGGGTGCTACTCTACTCTTGGATGCAATGATATTCGTGTGAACCTTGTGCTCAGATACAACTCGCAAATACACCACCGCTCCATAGGCATATTTTGAACTGTTCCCAAAGCCATGAAGCTCTATGGACTGGATGAACTCCTTGTTTTCGGGTATAACACATCTTGGAATGGTAATTTCTTGACAGCTAGACACATTCGCTCTCCACACTTCCGAGCGAGTACTAAGTTCTATGTCCCAGTCTAGCTCGGCCTTGCACGTTTCCTGGAACAGAACTTTCATCATAAGAACAACAGGTGAGATTAATCCCATTGGGTCATAAATCTTTGCAGTTGAACTGAGGAGATCACGCTTCGTAATTGGTTGTAACAACTCTGGTTCGCAGTTTACCATCTTGTCGAGGCGAAAAACTAGAGTATCAGAGGAGTTGTTCCATGTTACACCCAGAACTTTCTCATCATCAGGCTGGGAGCCAAGAACTTGTTTGGCATACGACATAGTGGTTTCTGTAGTGGTTGCATCTTGAGTGC